CAAATGTAACTATGGTTTTTCAATGGGCAATCTTTTTCTCTTTAGTTATCCAGATTTCTTAAGATATTTTTTTTTTTTTTTTTTTTGGTGATAAAAACACAATCCAGTCAGGTAAATCTAACAGAAAAACAAGTGATTTAACACAATCCTTAGATAATCATCTAATAATAATCAGAAAACGGATTCCATTTTCTCCATTCATTCTTCGTTTGGCTTAAAACAAACAAACTTAGAAACTTTCTTAGAAAATTTCTAGTTTGTTTGTTTTAAGAAAAATTTTATAAGATGAACATCCTTGAATTTTAAATTTATCAAAAAAAAATTTATAACAATCATTTTTTTTTTTTTGATAATTTCTATTGTTGTTTTTCTAGCCAACTTCTTCTTTTTCNAGAAAATTTCTAGTTTGTTTGTTTTAAGAAAAATTTTATAAGATGAACATCCTTGAATTTTAAATTTTTCAAAAAAAAATTTTTAACAATCATTTTTTTTTTTTTTTTGATAATTTCTATTGTTGTTTTTCTAGCCAACTTCTTCTTCTTCTTTTTTGAAAAGAAACGAAGTGAAAAAAAATTCGTGCCATATTCGATTATGATAATGATGATTATGATTATGATTATAACATCCATAACGAGCTAAAAGTAGAAAGATATTATTATCAAATCGACAAGAAAGAAATGTTTTGTTTTTGTTGTTTTTGCTGTTTTCCAATGTTATATTTTCATATTGAAATCAAAAATCAATCATTATTGAAGATTGACAGGTAAACAAAAATGATTGGATTAAGATTTGGTTTTCTTTCAGTGAAAAAAAGATTGACATATATAAAAAACAATCGATTGTTGTTTGATTGTTTTTGAATTTATTAATCGATAGTATCGATTATTAAATAATCATATCCGATTTTGTAATAGCGATTATTCATTGATGAAATATTCATCGTTTTTTTTTGTTTGTTCGTAATTCCATTGTTTTCTTTCTCAAAACCATTATCATTATCATTTCGAGCTGTCAAAATGACATCTAATAATAAACATTCGATAATGACAATGACATAATTATTGTTCATCATTCCTGTTGATATGTTTTGCTGTTTATTATGGTTCAAGGTTCAGAAGTATGATTTTGTATGTGTATAATTTATTCGGTGTGATAAATCCTAAAACAAAAAAAATTATCCAACAACATAATCCTCGATTATCATCATCAAAGTAGTGTTGTGCTGTAAATCGTGTTCAACTTGTCAATGGTCAAATTGATCCAATAAACAAAACAAAAAAAAAATCTGCCAAAAACAAACATCGGAAATCATGACCAAAATGATCAACAGGATTATGAAATTTTCATAGGAAAAAAACATAACGGAAATTCATGAATTTTGCTTCTTTGCTGTTGGGAAACTGTTGGGAAATTCATCATTATCATCATCAGTGAAAGGGGTAAATTCCATCATGATTGATGAAGAAAATATCCTACCTCATCATCAAAACAACAACAAATTATTGGTGAATGATGGAAACCAGCATTTTGGCTGATTAATTAATTAATTAATCATTTAATTAATTAATTTAATCAACATTTTAAAACATGAAAAATTCTTTATTCTTTAATCAATTTCCTTTATTAATTAGAATTTTTATATGAAGAAGATGATGATGATGGTTGACAAGAAAAATTTATGATTAAAATTTTCCAAGGATTTTTTTAAATTGGATAAAAAATTCATTAAAAGAAACAAATTCGATGAAAATAACAACAACAGACAAAAAATATGTCAGAATATCATCTCATTGCCTTGGCATATCATTTCCATTTTTTTTTCAAACATTTTTTAAAATCTTTTTTTTTTGAATTTTTTTTCTTCATCATTTACCTTAATTTCACACATCAAGACAAGGCTCTATAAATATAAACAATAATGATAAACATCTTCCCACACACACTTCACTTTCAGCCTTAAACTTGAAGATTTTTGTTGTTGTTGTTTTATTTTTAAACAACAAAAACATGTCATAACTAATTAATCTTTACTTTAATTTGATTTGATAATGGTGTTTAATTTGAATTTCTTTTCCTTTTGTTTCATCAGGAAAAAAAATTCATAATTCATAGCACTTTAATGACATTGATTTTGATTTTGATGTTTTTTTGATTCGATCGTGATTCAAATGTAACACACATTTTAAACATATCAAGGTTCATATAATGAAAATTCATTCAAATAAATTTCAACAAACGGATGTTCCGTTTGTTTTTTGTTGTTTTAACGCATCATTCGTTTTTTTTTTGAAAAAAATCGATTGAATTTGGAAAATACGTCCATAAATCTTGAATAATGTCTAAATATTTTTCTTTTGGGAAAAATTGATGAAGAAGAAGGGTAGCGATGATTCTTTTTTTTCGCTTTCTCTCCATCCAAATCTATAATTAACACTTCCAACATCAATATTTCACTTTTTCAATTTGATTGATGAACTATTGAATTCAATTTTTTCAGTGATTTTTTTTTGCTTATTAAAAAAAACCAAAAACAACATTTTCGGAATTAATTTGATGCATTAATTTAGTGATTTATAGCCATTTGTATTATCATAATAACAACAACAAAATAACACACACGCGATTCAAGGTTATGATGATGAACAATCAATTAATATTCAGGTAATGTAATGAAGAAGATTTCCGCTTTTTCTTTCAATTCCCGGCCATAAATATGATGATGAGGATGATAATAGGGTAGATATTTTTTTTATACATAATCATTATTAAAACAGGTGGAAATTATGAAACGTCTTTCAAATTGTGTATTTAAAATGATGATGATGGAAGCAAAGAAAGCAAGAGGGAAAAAGGTAGAATGTATAATTAATAGAAATCATATTACCATAATAATGATCATCGATTAAATGTGGCAAGAAACATTGCACACTACGCACACACACACTACACACACAAAATAGTCTGGATCCATCAATTGATTGATCAAAAATGTTTATGGAATATTATTATTTACAAGGAAAAAAAGACAGGTAATTTTTGGCTGATTCTCTAATTAACTAACACTTGATTTCCAAGATGGATGCTTTCATTTCCAAGATGCTTTTTTTTCATTGCCTAGTGATTCATTAATTGAATTTTTTTTTCAATAAAAAGTTTCACCAATTTTATTTCATAAATTACCTTGGAATTTTTTGTTTCAATCAAAAAAATTTTTCCCAAAAAAAATTTTATTTTTGAATTTTTCATTCCATATGAATATCATTATAATAATCAGACAAAATTTTCAATCAAGCAAAATTGATTTACATTTTTTTTCAATTTTTAAAATTTTCTATTTTTTTGTTTCATCCTGGATGATTTGACCATGAAATTTTAACCCCTCTTTTTTTCGTTCGTTGTTGTTTGTTGCCAATCATCATAAAGATTTTTCGACATGATAATCATGGATTTATTGTTGCTGTTGTTGTCGTTTGTTATTCAATTCGTGATCCTATTTATGGATGTTGTCGATGTTCGATGTTGATAATTAAAATCGTCCCTGGATCGATATATTTCCCCATTTTTTTTTGTTTTTCTTTAAAAAAAAGAAGAAGAACCATACACTTGTTACATTGATTAATTCGTGTCTTTTGTTTTGTCTGCTTTGTAACTTGGAACTGAAGAGTTGTTGATGGATGGATGGATGGATGGATGTGCGCATCAATTTAAATCACATCAATTCATTCATGGAATGTTGGTATGTAATCTCCTCCTACAATTCAACAAGTGAAAGTAACAAAATAATGACCACCAAAATGATAATGTTTTTTATTACATTGTTTGATCATCAATTGCGGATATGTTACATATCTTCCTTTAACATTGATATTGATGATTTGTTGTTGTTGTTGTTTTATGAAATCGAGAAGAAAATTCATGCTCGAAAAAGGCTATAAAAAGCAATGTTCATTTCTCAATTTTTTTCCTACGAAAAATTCATTGCATTCTTGTTTCAAAATCTGTGCTTCTTCATTGTTTTCAACAAAAAAAAAAACATTGCGATTTTTTTGAAAACTTCAGGTAATTTTTTTCCTTTTCGGTAATTTTTTTTGTAATCTTTTTGTAATTTTTTTTTCTTGTTTGATAATTAGAATGGGTAGAAAATTCACTGCCATTACTTGTTTAATATTGATCGGTACAAATGTTTTATTAGTCAAATCATCACCACCATCAAAAGGTGGTGATGATAATGATAGTTTTGAAGATAGTGGTGAAATTGTTGTACAACAACCATTAGCTCGACCAAAACGTGGTGGTTATATTGAAAAACCAATTGGTTATGGTGCTGCTGCTGGTGGTATGCGTTTTCGTGGTCCAGCTGCCGTATATAGTGGTGGTAAAAATTTAGCCGGATATGGTGGCAGTGTAGGTATGTCAACATATTCAACTGGTGGTGGTGGCAGTTTTGGTGGTGGTAGTTTTAGTGGCGGTAGTACCGGTGGAAGTGTCGGTGGCTCTTTACCTGGACCAATGAGTCTTTATAGTTATGCACCAAGACGTGCTAATGCAGCCGTTTATGGTGGTATTTGGGGACCACAAACCAATGAAGAAGCATTAAAATTCGATAGCCATATGACACGTTCAATGATTGCTGAAGCATTAGCATCAAGTGGTCGACGATTATATGCTGGTCATGGTGGTCTAATACCGGCTGCTATTCAATCACGACGAAATATTCAATTTTATGATGTACCATCAAATTTTGAAGCAGCCGAACCAATTACAGTTGAAGTTGGTCAATCACCAGCAGCACAATTGAATATCCGATTTAAATCATCGTCTAGTCCATTGGCTGTTGAACAAGATCATTCACCAGCACCTGGTTCAATGCGTGAAACAAGCAGTGAAGATGAACCACATGTTCTAAGACATACTGTTTCACGACCAATATTCCAAGAAGTTCATGAAGTAATCAAACCGTTTCGACGTGTTACACAAGAAATCCAACCAGTTCAGGAAAATGTTGAAACCGTTGTTGCACGAGGTGATGAAATCCAAGGAGGAACTGGTATTGTTGCCGGTCAAGTACTTACAGCCGACAGTGGTGAAGTTACCGGTGTACAACAAACTTCGAATATCATTGCAACAGGACATGGTGGATCAGTTGGTCAAGGATATGTACAAGGAATATCAACAAAACCGGCCATCTATGGATCTGGATCATATGGTATGATGAATGCTGGTGGTCAACATGCTGCTGTTTATTCATCAAAACCAAAAAGTTATGCTGCTGTTCAAGGTCAAACTGGCGGTTATCGTCAAACTGGTTATGGTCATGGTATGGCTGCTGGTACCGGTTATCAAAAACAACAAATAACCGGTGGTGGTGGCCCAGAAATGGCACAGGTTCAAATTCCATTTGCAAGACGTGCAGCTGCTGCTGCTTCTGCTGCACGTGGTGCTCGTCGTGCACGACGTGCTTGAATGCAATTAATAAGCGATTAATAATAGCGGTTAATTACTAGCCGATATTTCTAAATTTCCGATTCAAAACAAACAAATCGAAATTCTCAATATTTTTTTTTTAATCAATACAAATGTCCTGCCAAACAATCTAAATAATAATTTTTGTCAAAAAAGAAAAATACATCTTCCCACCTGAATATTGAATATATATTCATCATTTCTCATTTCAATCAACTTGTCAATTTTTTGTTAATTTTAAATTTTCTTAATTAATTAATTTTTAATTCTTATTATAAATCAATAAATCGATAAATCAATCAATCAATCAATCGATAACAATAATTCAATGCTGAAAATAATGATAAAAATTAATTTGATTAGCGATTATAAGTAGTTGTAATTTTGTTGCTTGTAATTTTTTTGTGAATTTGTAAAATGAATTTGTTTGATTAACGACGACGACGACGACGTTTATTACCACCTAGATTTGGTAACAATGTATCTAAACTTGGTAATCCATCAAGATTTGGTAATGTATCTGGATCTAAAAGATTACCATTTTCAGTTAATTTTGATAATGATGGTAAACCACTAATTAAATCTTGTAATGCACCACGTTTTTTACGTTGATTTTTTCCAAACATATTACTTGTTGGAAATTTATCACTATCCAAAATATTACCATTTTCATCCAGATTAACAATATCTTTAATGTTTGGTAAATTACTATTACTATCGCTGGAACGTTTTCGACGATTTTGTAATGGATTATTATTGGAAAGTTTATCCGAATCAAAAATATTTCCATTTTCATTCAATTTTGATAAACTTGTTTGCGGTAAATTATTACTACTGGAACGTTTTTGACGACCATTGTTTTGTTGATTTGTTGATGGATTTTGAAAATCAATATTATCGGTTTGAATTGCATTATCATTCGGTATTTCTACATCATTATTAACATCCATAGGACGCAGTGTTGTTGGCGTTTGATTAGAATTTCCACGATTACCATTCATACCATTATTTCCACGAATATTACCACCATTATTAGTACCATTACGATCAAAATTTTGTGCATTTAAACGATCCGATTCCATTGCAATACGTTGTGCTTTATAATGTAATTGATCAACAATACTATTTAACATTGCCATTATATTTTGATCAATTGCATCACGATGTTCTAAATTTTGTCCCATATTTTTAACAATATCTAAATCTTTTTGTACCATTTGTAAACGATTTGATGCATTTGATGTACCTCCACCACCACGATTATTAGAATTTTTTAATGAATTTTGCATTCGTTGTACTTCTTGTTTAGTTCTTTGTATATTACGATTTAACATTCGCATTAATAAATTATTTCCTTGTTGATCATCGTTGTTGTTGGTGTTTTGTTGCATTGATGGCTCGAAGCTTAATGCAATTATTGCTACGATAAAGTGAAAGGGAAAGAAAAGTAAAACTCAGAACAAGAATCAGCAAACAAACTTACCGAACAAAGTTACGAATAGAATTGTACGATTCATAATGTTTATGTTATTATCAGCAAGCAAGAAAGATTTCAGAAATTTTAATTTTATTTTTTTTCAATTTAAAATTTTCTATTTTGATATGCATGTTTTTATATCTATTTTTTCTTTCTCGACCACTAAATGTACTCAACAAACGCACCAAAAAAACAAAAATCAAAAACATTGAATGATGGATAGCCAGATGTTCTGTCAAATTCTATTTTTCTTCTCCACCATTTTCATTTCTGAATTGAATCAAACATCAATCGAAAATTGATTTTTTTTGTCAAAAATGTCAAAATTGATTCAACAACAAGGGGAAAAATAAAAAATGACAGAATTTCAAGAACAGATTTCTGTCATAAAATGTCAAAATAATGATTATGACATATTGATAATCTTTTGATATTTGCACAACAAAAAAAATTAAATATTTTATTGATTTAAATCAAGTTTTTTTAGTTTGGTTGGTTTGGGAAATTTCCTCGGAAAATTTTTCAAGAAAAACTTTCCAATTTTTGTATTTCAATTTCTAATTTTTGTTTTACAACACATAATTTTTTTTCCAATATTTTCAATATTGTTCGTATATTTTGTTGTTGTTTTTGATCATTTGTAATCGATAGTTTCGATAATTCATAATCTAATTGTTTTAAAATGGTAATTATTTTCAATAGGCCACCATTTAGATATTCACGATTTTGTGATTTTAAATGTTCATTTTCAATCTGTGCATCTTGTATTAATTTTTCTGCTGTTTGTCGTAAATTTTGTCGCCATTTTTCTAGATTTTGATGCTGTTGTTGTTGATCCTGTTGTTGTTGTTGTTGTGGCCGCAAAAGTAATTGCGGTGGACGACATTCAACATTGATTACGATCGCTAATCAATAAAATTTTGGTCAATATTTGATTTTTTCAAATGAACAAAGATTACTTACCGAAAATAACCAAAAAAATTGGTAGAATTTTTTGCATTCTAAATACGGGTATTTAAAACAAAGCAAAAAAGAAAATCCAGGAATTGATTCGATCGGGTTAGATTGACAATATGTGTTTATCAATTGCATATTGATATTTTCTATTTATAAGATTTTTGTTTGGTTTTTTTACATCTGTTTGTATGTTTCCACCGTTACTTTGTTTCTAAATTGTGTACCAAAAACACTTATTAAAATGTAGGGGGGTTTATCATTTTGTCATCAAATGTTTGACCATATTGATTGAAACAAATCAATCAATCAAATCAATCATTCGATCTATCAATTGATTGATTTGATTATCGGTATCGGTTTGGATCAATAAGTTTATTGATTGATTGGATTACCTTGGTGATATTTAAAAAAGCAAAAAACAAAATTACAATTCAAATCAATTCATTTAATAATTTCAAATTGAAATTATTAAACTTTGCTCTAAATACAAATCATTTTTTTATAATGTTATAATCTAATCATCTGATGATCATAGATCTTTTTTTTTGGAAATTGAAAAAAACAAAAAAAAACAAATTACGTCAATCGAATAACATTATTTTTATTTTATTTTGGGAATTGAGGAATGGAAAAAACAATGTATTTGTTCATCATACAATGAACGGTATACCAACATAATTTTGAATATTACATTTATTTTGTCCACGTGGTAAATAAAGATAACCATCGATACCCCAATTTTCACCCCAACTATTTTTAATAATCCAATAATATCTTGTCCAACCAATTACTGTTAATGCATGATTTGGTTGAAAACCACAATTACCATAAAATGGTCCTTTTAAATATTGTATTGGATAACCATAACTATCAACATTCATTGTAACCGATAATGGTCCATATTGTATTAATAAACGTTGCATATATTCTTCACTTATATCAAAACTTTGACACCAATATGATACTGTTATTGGTGATTGTGGATAACTATAACATCGACCAGTTTGTTGTCCTAAATAAGGTCGTTCTTGTTCATTAGGTACTCTATATTTTCGTACAATATCCCATGATTGTGCAACAAATGATCCACGTTGACAAAGACCATAATCTAAACAATCTAAAACAGCTTGTTCACTTAAATCTAATGTTGATGCGGAAAATTTTCCTGGTTGTCGTATAAGATATGCACTTTCTAATGATGCTATTGCACTGAATATTGCACAACTACCACATTTATATTGATTACGTATTGGTGTAACAGCACCTTGATTAGCCCAATTAAATTCTTCAGGTATTTGTTGATTTGGAATATTATCAACACACCTATATCCACGTACATCTTTTAATGTTAAATTTGAATGTTTTCCAAATTTTTTTGCTGTAAATTTTTCATTTTTTGGTTTTATATCTCGTAATGTTTTTATTTCATCTGCTAATCGTGGATTTAAAAGTGCTTTAAATTCTTTTTCCGTCTAAAATTATTTATTTTGGATTTTTTTTTTAAATTAAAATTAGTTAAATAAATTGAAGAAAAAAATAAATAATTATAAATTTAAAAACATACCAAATGAAAAATTGATGTTATACCTAAACGTGAACGTTTTTCTTTCGGTAATTGTAAACATTTTTGTATTTCTTTTACTAATCTATGAACATTTTTAGTTACAGTTTTTATTCGTGTATCTAATATTTTGTCTGTTTTATTTTTAGGTTTATTTTTCAATTCCATTGATAGAAATCGTTTTTGATGCGGTGATTGCTGATAAATATTAAATGGATAGTTTTATAAATTTAATTAATATTAATAAAAAGAAAGGAATTTTAAAAATGAATAAAAATAATAAATACTTACAAAATATCTCAATACAATATTATTCAAATCGGTATTGATTATATTAAGATGATTTCTTTGACCATCAAACATACTATCATAACAATCATATAATTCATATTCTCTTAATAATTTTAAAATTTCTGCACTAAATTTATTTGATAAACGATCGAAACTTTTTTTTCTAAATGTTGAATTTATTTTTGATGAAAATTGTTCATCATTCAAATGAGAAGAATGATTATGTTTATGATGAGAATGATTTTGTTTATGAGATATTGATTTGTTGCTCTTTTTTGTTGTTTGTGTTTGAACACAAACAATACAACAAACAATAACGAAAAAACAAAAAGTTGTTGATAATAATTTTGAAGACAACATTGCGAATGAAATGATTTGTAATTTTTAATTTTATTTATGAATCCTATTTATAGAATTTAAATTTAAAACAAAAAAAAATTTGAAATTTAAAAAAACATAAAGTTTATCGATTGATTTGATTGATTGATTTTTATTTTCAAAAAAATTTTATGGATCAATTGAAATGTTAATCTAAATTTTTAATTACTTTTTGTTTTGTCATTTTTGTAAGAAAATGTCATCATTACAATAAAATAATTAATAAATTTCAGTAATTGGCATAGCAACTTCAAATAATATGCCACATTTATTTGAATGACGTGGTAAAAAAAGATAACCATTTATACCCCATTCAGGTCCCCAACTATTTTTAATAATCCAATAATATTCATCCCAACCAATCAATGTAACAGCATGATTAACATGTGTATCACAATAAGCTTCAAATGGTCCTTTTAAATATTTCCATTCTGGTCCGGTTGATACACTGATACTTGCATCTAATGGACCATATTTATATAACATTGTTTGAATTATTTCATCATTATTATAATTATGACTACACCAATCAATAACTCTAATACGATATCTTGATCTTGGATAAACATTACATTGTCCCAACCATTGTGTTTGATAAGGATAATATTCTTCATCAACAATTCCATATTGTGCCATTGTTGACCAACCAAACCATTGATATCCACCACTTTCACAAGTATTTCGAGCAAGACAATCCAATACTGCTTGTTCACTAAAATCAACATCATATGGATTGATTTGACCATTACTTTTAATCAATAATGAACTTTCAACAGTTGCAACAGATGAAAATATAAAACAACTTCCACATTGTCCTTGTTGTCTAATTGGTGTTACTTTACCTTGTTCAAACCAATTAAAACTTCTTGGTAATTGTCTTGATATTGGTTCATTTGGACAGCTAGGAGTACCGGTTAGATTTGAACCAAGACCACCTTTTAATGTTGCATGTAATGTACTTCGTTCTATTAAATGATGATTTATCATTGAATCAAATTCTTGATCAGTCTTTAATTCCATTGAGTTGAAGGGAAGGGAAAATGCAATAACAAAATTAAAAAAAAGAATTCATAATGATTCAACAACAAAAAATTAAAAAAATATCTAATTACCAAATGTGTAAATGATGTAATACCCAAACGTATACGTTGATTTTTAGGTTTTCTCAAACATTCTTCAATAGCTTTAATCAATGAATTAATATTTTCGGCAACAATTTGTAAACGTTTTTCAGTTTCATGTTTATCATTATTCATTGTTCCATGTAATGTTTGTACTGACATCTGTTGTTAAGAAAATGAAAATTATTATTATTATTTTTTTTGGAAAAATTGATGGATTTTGTTTGTTTTTTGTTTGTTTTGTTGTTGAAAAAAAACTTACAAAATAATCATGTACAATTTCATTAATAGACATTTTGAATAGATCAATTTTTTGATCACCATATGTACCATCATAACATTGATCAATATCATCCAATGAATATGAATTACCTAATTGATTAATTTGTTCAGTTGATTTCATTAATGTTGATGATAATGTTGGATGATTATCGATTGATGAACGTAATGAATTTGATGTTGATTGTAAATGTTTTGGACAATATTCTGTATTGATTATCGATATTATCGATATCATATATAATAATTTAAAAAATAATTTGGACATTATTTCAGTGGATTTCTGTTGCTTTTTTTCTGAATTGATCAATCAAAATTTGTTTGAAAATGATTTGAAAAAAAAATCCGATAAAATTATTACTTTTAAATTTTTTTTATTATTGAATCGGCGAAAAAGTCAACAAAAAAAAAGAAAAAGAAAAAAAAGAAGATTCGGTTCATTGAAAACATAAACTTTGATAAAATTTCAAAATTTCAAAATTTCAAATGTTTTTTTCTAGTTGTCAACTTTGATTTTTTACAAATTATACTTATAATTATAACAGAGTTCAACCAAAATGTTTAATTTTTTTATTCAATTCAATTTCAAATGCAATTACAATATCATTATAATATGAACAAATTGATGAATCATTATCATCATCATCATCATCATTATAATCATCATAGGAATTAACATTATAATCGGAATTAATATTATAATCATATTGATCACAACCATCATCGATAATTTGTTGTCGTACCGTTTGTATATGTTCAATGAATTTATACATTTGTTGAATGTAAACAAATTTACCAACGGATTTTAAATGATTAATTTCCTGTATAGCATTTTGTATTATCAAATCTAAATGTTTTATTAATGTAATTTTATGGTTACCATTTTCAGCATCTTCGATTTGATTGATGGTACGATGGAGTCTTTGTCTTTGATAATATTGATAATGATGATGATGAAATATTGGAATAAAACGTTTCATAAATTTCCCGGCAGGATCATTTGGTACTAGTTTCAAAAGTTTCCGTAGAAATTTTTCCGTATTATAATGATAACCGGGAATCATTTTTGGGGAATGATTTTTTTCCGCTTTAACCATTATACCACAAGTCGATATGACTATGATGATGATGATGTTTAAAACTACCAGAAAAACGAAAACCAAAAGAATTTAGCCAAAGAATTTTCTTTGAAAAAAAATTTTGTTTGCTCACCAAAAATAATTGTCCAGCGATTCATTGTCGTAATTTTTGTTTTCTTCTTCTTTTGGTTCTGCGTAATTTTCTTAATAAATCCAAAAACAGCAAAAAATCTAGATTCATAAGCTAGCTACTCTTATAGCTTGTAGTAACAATAATTACCACGTAATTGAAAATTTTATCATCATCAACATCATCATTTTAAGATTTCAGAAAAGCGTGCTTTGTTTTTTTGCTTTGTTTTGTTTGTTATCTGATAACAAACAAAAGAAATTGTTTAGGTAAACACTTATACACACCACACGTACAAATGTAACGTGCAACAAGATAACAATCCTGTTTGGATCATTGCCATATTGTTTTGACAAGAATTATGTCAAAAACAAAAAAATCATCCAAAGTTTTCATTTGTTATTGAATGAGGAAAAATCCAAAACCCAAAAAACATCAGATTTTGACATTGATAATGAATTTTGAATGAAGAGAAAAAAAGATGGAATCCTTTAAAAGGGGAAAAATTAATAGAAAAAGAAAAATCATAAGATTTTTATCCACACACACACACACATCCATCATCAAAGTTCAAAGTCGAAAATATTTTTGATGAGTACATTTTGACAAGTGTTTGTTTCATACAAAATATAACAATAAGCACCCGTTCGTTTCAATCTAAAAAGAGAAATATTTTTTTTCTTTAAAAAAACCTGTCAAAACTATTATAAGGATTTGGATGTTGTCAACTGCAAAAAAAAAAATTGGTAATCCCATTTTAAATCGTAAATCAAAAATTTTTTTTTTTGAAAATGACAAGGTTTCTCAGTCACTCACCGTTTCGACGATAGATGGCTGGTCATGCATTATGTTTTGTTGGATTTGATTTTTTTCTGTTTAATGTTGCTGTTTTCGTTCATTAACATCAATTACATTACGTTATCTCACCAATGTACAAATTCTCACCTTTATGTCAACAACAAACATTATTGTGATTTTTACAAGCATTTTCTTGTTTGTTTGTTTTGTTTGCAATAGATTTGGCCTTCGATCGATCAATCAATCGATTGATTGGTTTGATTGAAGCTGAACATTTGTGAATGAATAATTGGCAATAAAAAAATACCAAAACAAAAAAGCAAGAATTAATTAGCAATCAATCATCAATTATCTGAGGATGATAGAAAAACAAAAAAAGGAGATGTTTTTACAACCAAAACAAACAAAAAGAAAGGATGGAAGGGTTTATTAGGAAAGAATTCATGCAAAAAAACAATTCATTCGTTGATTACCTGTTCAATAACAACAACAACAACCGAAAAGATGTTATCGACAAATATTGATTTGGAAAAACAACAACAACAACAACAAACAACCACAGTGAAAAATCCATTTGATTATTTTCAAAAATATTATCAATATGTTTGGATTTTTTCATTCACAATACCATTAACGTTTCCATTAATTTTGATATTAAGGTAAGAGATTCGGTTATTATTTTGTTTCAACCAACAACCGAAATTTTTTTTCAAATTAGCTATTACATAACCGTATCGAATGATTTTGTTGATCCATTATTTCCATATATAAGTGATATTGTTGGTCATCCACCGGTTGCCTGTTATTTTTCAATGTTTATCGATTTACTTTCAATACTTGGTATGTTTGCTTTGTTTTGTTCATTATCTATTTGTTTGTTTTTGTGTTTGTTTATTTGAATCAATTTTTTTTGTTGTTGTTGTTTGAAATGAAAATTAGCATTCATAACCGGATTTTTTCGCTATAAACAATTGCAGTTTTTATTGATAAACAAAAATTTTGATAATACTAATGATAATGATTCAAAAAAACAATGTTTACAAAATTTAAATTATAATTCATTAATATCATTATGGATAACATCATTTGGTTTATTAATGATTGGAAATTTTCGTGAAACAGAAAATATGTTTGTACATATAATTGGTTTTTTTGTATTTTGGTTACCAATAACATATTATATGTTTATAATGATCAAATTAAATGATAATATTGATGATTATAAAAATAATAATAATAATGATATTATTATAATAAAATTATTAACATGGTTATCAACAATAACATTATCAATATTTGTAATATCAATACCAATATCATCATATAAACATGGTAATTTATTGGCAAATTTTGATAACCAAATTCGTCAACATTGGCCAAAAAATGACTCCGGTTATATTTGGCATACGTTTGGTGCTATTAACGAATGGATTGGTTTCTTAACGTTAATGTTATTTTTTAGTTTGATTGGTTTACGTTTACGTTCATTTAAATATTATTGAACAGCTAAATAATATTTCCTCGTCATTTTTCAAATCAAAATTGATAATAAAAAACAACAAAAAACAACAGATAAGGTTACAGCAACATTTCATTTCAATCTTCAATATGCCAGGTACGTTACAGCCATAATGATAATGATGGTGATTATCATTTGTGGCTAATATTCATCATTAACACACAAGGACGCAATCAGAAAAATGTTCCAAAAACAAAAAAAAAAGCATATTTTGTATTTCAGATAGACAAATAGCTAACAAACAACATTATGTAATAACAAATTGATAATGATATTTTTTGTGACTTTTTTTTATGTGTGTGTTGAAAAAACAATAAAAAACACACACACACAAACACACAAAAGTCATTTATTTTTTTTACATATGTCATTTTGTAAATGACGATTACAATTTATTATTACCATTATTATTTATTTTTGATACAACTACTGTGTGTTTGTGTGTTTTTGTATATTTCATATTCAAAATGTTTCTTTCTCATTTCATTTCATTCAGGGAAAAAAAATTATTACAAAATTTACATAATACACACACACACATCGGTAAAATAATAATAAAAATTTCTTCTGCTGTTGCTGAAAATGATAGTTTTTTTTTATAAAAAAAATGAAAAGTGTCATCAACATTAACGAAAAACAACAGGCATTGTCTGTTGTTGTTGTTGTACAAATGACAATTATTTGTTGTTGTTGTCGTTAATGTTGTTGTTGTTGTTGTTGTTGTTGTTGTTGATGAATAAATATCGAAATGAAAAACGATTTATAATCATCAAAAGTCAAAAAGAAAATACAAAATAATAATATCCATTTAGGATTTTCGGCTATTTTAACTGATGATGATGATGATGATGATGATGATGATGATGATGAGGATCGTTGAGTATTGGAGTAGTATGGAGTATTGGTCATTGTTTTTTATTTTCCGTTGAAAAAATACCGGCTGTTCAGCCCAGCCCGGTCAATGTTTGTTTTTGCCGCCAAATTGATTGATTTGAATTTGAATTTGAATATTTGAAACAAAACAAAACAAAAAAATTTCTATTCTTTGAGAAATAATTTGATTGCAAATCGAATGATTCATTCAACGAAACGAAAAAAAAGAAGATTCATTTATCAAACATATGTTTGTTTGTTTTTTTGTTTACGCTCATTATCATTATCATTATTGTTGTTTTTCTGTTGTTGTTGTTATTTCATCATTTGAAATGATGAAAAATGAATATTTTGTTTTGTTNTTAATATCATTATGGATAACATCATTTGGTTTATTAATGATTGGAAATTTTCGTGAAACAGAAAATATGTTTGTACATATAATTGGTTTTTTTGTATTTTGGTTACCAATAACATATTATATGTTTATAATGATCAAATTAAATGATAATATTGATGATTATAAAAATAATAATAATAATGATATTATTATAATAAAATTATTAACATGGTTATCAACAATAACATTATCAATATTTGTAATATCAATACCAATATCATCATATAAACATGGTAATATATGGGCAAATTTTGATAATCAAATTCGTCAACATTGGCCAAAAAATGATTCCGGTTATATTTGGCATACGTTTGGTGCTATCAATGAATGGATTGGTTTCTTAACATTAATGTTATTTTTTAGTTTGATTGGTTTACGTTTACGTTCATTTAAATATTATTGAACAACGACAATATCTTCAAATTACTTTTCAAATCAAAATTGTTAACACATGAGTGCTCGCGTGGGGTATATTTCTACCCCAGATTATACAAAAAAATTTTCTAAGTTCGAAATCGCTTAATGTTAAATCAATGGTGGGGTGAAAAAATACCCCACGCGAGCACTGGCGTTAGGATTTGATGCGCGAGCACTGATGTGTTAATAAAAACTAAACAACAAAAAACAAAACAGATAATGTTTCAACAACAATAACAACATTTCAATCTTCAATATGCCAGGTACGTTACAGCCATAATGATAATGATGGTGATTATCATTTGTGGCTAATATTCATCATTAACACACAAGGACGCAATCAGAAAAATGTTCCAAAAACAAAAAAAAAAGCATATTTTGTATTTCAGATAGACAAATAGCTAACAAACAACATTATGTAATAACAAATTGATAATGATATTTTTTGTGACTTTTTTTTATGTGTGTGTTGAAAAAACAATAAAAAACACACACACACAAACACACAAAAGTCATTTATTTTTTTTACATATGTCATTTTGTAAATGACGATTACAATTTATTATTACCATTATTATTTATTTTTGATACAACTATTGTCTGTTTGTGTGTGTTTGTATATTTCATATTCAAAATGTTTCTTTCTCATTTCATTTCATTCGGGGGAAAAAAATTATTACAAAATTTACATAACACACACACATCGGTAAAATAATAATAAAAATTTCTTCTGCTGTTGCTGAAAATGATAGTTTTTTTTATAAAAAAAAAAAAATGAAAAGTGTCATCAACATTAACGAAAACAACAGGCGTTGGTATACAAATGACAATTATTTGTTGTTGTCGTTAATGTTGTTGTTGTTGTTGTTGTTGTTGATGATGATGATGAATACATATCGTAATGAAAAACGATTTATAATCATCAAAAGTCAAAAAAGAAAATACAAAATAATAATAATATCCATTTAGGGTTTTCGGCTATTTTAACTGATGATGATGATGATGATGATCGTTGAGTATTGGAGTAGTATGAAGTATTGGTCATTGTTTTTTATTTTCCGTTGGAAAAATACCGGCTGTTCAGCCCAGCCCGGTCAATGTTTGTTTTTCCCGCCAAAAAAATTGATTGATTTGAATTTGAATATTTGAATATTTGAATATTTGAAACAAAACAAAACAAAATTTCTATTCTTTGAGAAATAATTTGATTGCAAATCGAATGATTCATTTGAAACGAAACGAAACGAAGAAGAAAATTCATTTATCAACATATGTTTGTTTTTGTTTTGTTTACGCTCATTATCATTATCATTATTGTTTTTTTTGTTGTTGTTTTTCTGTTGTTATTTCATCATTTGAAATGATGAAAAATGAATATTTTGTTTTGTTTTGTTAGCATTCTTATTACATGAAACAAACAAACAAAAGAAAAATATTTCAAATTTGTCAATCATTAATCACTTTGAAATTTGTCTGTGTCTCGATATCGGTAATGAGATTTGTCTTTTTTTGAAACGAAACGAAAAATGATACAAATGGGTTTTTTTTTGTCAAAATTTTTCAAAAAAATTCATTTTATCCAACCTGTTGCTCGGTCTGTTTCTGTGTGTTATTCAATCAGTAGAAATAGGTGAAAAATCAAATTAGTCATTAAAGGTGGCAAAAAACATGTTTTTCAAAAAAAGTTTTTGTAAAAAAAAAACAAAATTAATTTTAATGTATTTTTTTTTGTTGTTATAATTACCATCTTTTTCGTACGAAATAAGTGTAAACACACACATATATAACACACATGGATAACACAAATGGATGTCATAAAAAAAAATTTATGGCCATTTTTTTCTTCTACAGACAAACATATCATATCACACACAAATGATAATAATTATAAAGACCACCAGGTAACAACATTAACAACACCAACAACAAAAAAAAATCATGATCCGTATCTCAAAGATTATCATCATACACCATAATAATAATAATAATGATCGGCAAAGTTGATCTTGTTTTTTTTTAGTTTCTTGAAAAGATTTTCTCCCGGTTATTGTCGATATCGGTCCAATGATTTTTTTTCCCTTTCTCTCTCCCTCTCTCTCTTTTCCCAAAAATTCTTGACGACATCAGAATTGATGGTGTGACCACCACCACTAAAAAAAATTAAATGATCCATGACTTGTCAAGTATTACATTAGACAACAAGAGTGAATCAGAGTGATTATTGTCACAAAAAAAGCTAATAGAAAAAAAAATATCAACCATAATCGTTATCGTTACGATTGATGGATCAAATGTACATCATCAAAATTGAATTTAATGATTCTTTTCTTCGTTTTTCAAAAAAATATTCCGATGTTCGGTTGATAATCGATATCTCTGTGTGTGTGTGTGTTTGCTGTCCAGAAAAAACATGACCAAAAACCCAATGATATAGAAACCATATAGAAGGAAAGAACTTTATGTACAAACATTATTAACCTTTATTAACCATAACCGGGATAATTTGAATATTTTTTCTATCATCATCATTATTTTTATTAATTCAAAACATGTCCACACACAAAAATGTCATCTGTGAATGACCGAATAATATTACAATTCTTTTGTCCACAAAAGAAAATCTTTAAATTATTTTTAAATGTTTGTAAATCAAAAGAGATGTATGATGGCTTTCATAATGATGTTACAAAAATAATTATCCTTGGTTGAAACATTATTTTAAATGTAATTTTGTTTGTTTGTTTGGATAACA